CATACCACTGTATACACCAAACAATATTAAGGAATTATTTACTTTTTCAATTTTTCTTTTTTTTTTTTTTTAAGAGAAGTATTAGTTTTAAAATATATGTATGAGAATGTAATTTTTGAAAGTCGTTAATTTTAAATATTCATATCTAAAGTTTTAAAAATAAATATTCACAATTGATAAAATCCATTCGAATTTGAGCTTACTGTAAAGATTTCAGCTGTGATCCTTACTTTGTTTGTAACTTTTTAGTTAGCTCGCTCTCCGTGCGTGTGTGTGTGTGTATATATTATATACGAGTGTAAAACTATTTCATCAATTTGTTAGAAAAATAATGTTCAATGTAGTTTTTTTTTTTAAATTTTCTTTCATTTGTATATTTAAATTTATTTATTATTTATATTTAATATGACAATTTAAAAAAACAAAAATGGAGTCAAGTACTATTAAGAGATTAAAATTTCATTCGTAACATAAAATTTCACTTGAGATATATAAATTTTATTAAATAAAAATAATATGCAAACATCACATCTAAATTTCGGATGTTTAAAAAATTTTTTGTTCGCAAAAAAATAACATAATATCATAAACACTAAATCTATTATTTTAAGTGCAAGATTAACCAAAAGGGTATGCAACCTTATCATTCATATTTACATATATGAGAATTTAGTAAATTAGAGAATAATTTATGTATATTTTAGAGAGTTTTAATTTTTTTTTTAAAAAACTTTAATAGTCTCTATATATATACATTTGATAAATTATTAGTGATGTACTCTCAATTAATTATTGTAGAATATTGTCTTGTCGCTTTTCCATTGTTGCCGCCTCTATTTCTCCTTCAGGTGGCAGTCGAGACTGATATGGTTTGTGTTTTATGGCTCTCTCTCACTAACTGATTTTTCTTTTTTTTTTCTCTCTCTCTATATATATAACTATGATACCATTAGTTGAGAAAATAAATCTCAAATACCGCGCACAATCACAATAAAATAAAGTAGATAAAAAATAATACATAAAATTTAATATAATTCGATAATGTATCTATATTTACGGGCAAAACCGATAAAAAAATATTTTATTATGATTAATTGAAAGTGCATTATCAATATGTTAACAAACTTATATATAGAGAGACTATTAGAATTTTTTTCAAATTAAAACTCTTTAGGCTATACATATATTATTTTCTAAAATAAATACAAATTATTATCAAGATATACATAAAATATCTACTATAATCAACATCAAATATATTTCAGAATATAGATAAAATATCTCTAAAATTTAAGTCACATTAATATAGTATGTAAACTATTAAAATATTATTTAAAATTACTAATAGAGTTTCATCCTACAACATAAATTATTTGATTGATTAGGTCAAAAAAAGTATAAATTTGTCAAGTGCTTATCTCCATAAGATAGATATAAGGATGAATATATATATATATATATATATATATGTGATGCATTTTACATGGATGTATGTCATGTACTATTGTGACAATCATGGTAAATTTATGTTGATGAGATTCCTATATGTAGATAAGATACTTATTGATTTTATTGTAAAGATAAAAATATTGAACTTATATATTTTTACAACTTATTTATAATTTTCAGCATTAAATAAGTAGATTATAATTACCAAATTCACTCATTGTAATATAAGTTCTAATAAATATGAGATTCTAAAAAAAAAAAAAAAAATTACTATAGAAGGACCACACTCGAGAGCATTAGCTTATATTTAATACTTGCTTTACTAGTGTTAAAAAAAAAAAAAAAGATAAAAGTTGGTTCATGTGTAATGATATCCAAGTTATTAACAAAATCATAGCTTAGTGAATATTTTTAACCCTTTTATTTAGTGACTTATTGGATAATGGAAGGAATCAAGTTACTTTCCAAAACTGATTTAAGAAGTGGTTACCATCATATTTGTATTAAGCTTATGAATAAATGTAAAAATAATATAAAGACAAAAAAAATGTTTTTACAAATTATCTAATGTTTCAAATGTTTTCATCATTTAATGAATAATATTTAACATTTTTTATTGATGGATTTATAATGATTTAGTTTAATAAATTTTAATTTATAATCACATTGAAAAAAAACATATGTAACATGAAGTATTAACAATTTTCTAGAAAAACAAGAGTGTTATATCAATCTAAAAAAATACAACTTTATGAAAACTCTACTAATCTTAAAGGAATATATGTTGAAAATTAAAAACAAATGTTATATGAAACTTATTATTAGAACTCGTAATCTTTCATGGACTTGCCATTTTTTCTATAGAAAAATCTAATTCCAAATTTTGTTAGCATTATGTCCCCCAACAAAATAAAGCTTTTGGTTGATCAAATTAATAATTAAAACTTTAAAATGATTAAGAAAGAATTAGTTATCTTATCTATATTAACTCTAGTAATTTCCGAAAAATATTAAGTTCAAATATTATATGTTAATATTTAATCACATATCAGATTTTGTTTATGAAAAATAATTTTAATGTAACTCTCTCACGGTTGATTAGAAAAGAATTACCAAAAGAAATGTCATTTATTTTTACCAAAAAACTATTAAATAAGCGGGAAAAAGTACCATTTTCTTTTAAATCCTATTTCTTTTTTTTTTAAAATTTTTTCGTTCATCCTTAAGTTTCTACCTTTTTTTTTTATTTGCCGATAATTTTTTGTAAATATAATTTAAATTTTTTTTCTCATTTTTCTCCTATTTTGCTTTCTCATTTTCAATTATTTCGCTATTGAAAATTCAGGTTTCAGTTTTATTTATTTTTTATTTTACTCTATTTGTAAACTTTCTCTTCCCTTGTTTTTCAATTTTACTTCTCCCAATAGTTATGTTTTACTTTTTATACCATTTCATCGCATCTATCTTATTTGACATATGGCATTTTCATATATTCTTTTCTATTTTTAACTTTTATGTTCTTTTTTTGTAGTTTTAGGTGCCCATACCAAAATGGGCTTAAATGAGGCCCATGGACTCAGGCCCATATAAATCTCCAGCAGTCCAAATTGTATTAGTTATTATCAATTTATGTTATTAAAAAAAAAAAAGAAAAAATTTATTACCAGTTGATGACAATAATTCATAGGTGTTCCCACATTTTCTTATTATTTTCTAATGTGTTCTTCATTATTATTATTATTAATAACTAATATGAGTTTGGCAAACTTCTAGTTGATGTTAATTTAACCAAATAACTAGTACTTTTATTTGTTTTTCTTTCTCTTAATGTCTACTTACTATTATTATTAAACTAATAAAACTTTAGCCCATTTCTATTTTAATTTTTAAATTTCATTTTCTATATGTTATTTTTTTTTTAACTTTAGAATTATATCATTTAATTTTACATATTTCAATATTTTTCATCCCGCTTTTTTAATCATTATAATAAATAATTAGTAGATGAATATTTAAAAATTGTATGGACCAGTGATTTAAAATCTAAAAATTAGAAATAGATATAACAAAACTAAAACGATAAAATATAATATTAAATTTTTGGTTGAATAAATTCCAATTGCTGATTTTTTTAGGTGGCAACTTTCTATAAAAATTATTTAGTTTCATTTTTAGATCTTTTTTTGTACCTTTTATAATGATGCTGAATTTCACAAAACACAATGGTAAAAACTTAAAGTCTTTATAAGTCTTGTTAGATAAATAAATTATTAAATGAGAGATTAGACTTTTAAATTGATTAACAATTAATGAAATATACGCTACAAAATACTTATTAATCTAAATATATATTGAAATATAAAAAATAGAATTGTAAAGTAACTGTAACTGTAATTTTTAAAGGTTAAAAATAATAAAATAAAAATATTTATGTATTACTATTTTTATCGCAAATATAATTATTAAACTCACAAATATAAACGATTCAACTTTGAATAAAAAATATCGTATACTAATTATAATAAAAAATTATATAAAAGATGGTTATTTAATTATCAAGTATTTTAGTAGAATTTAATAAAATAATAGTGCAACCGTAAGATGTTCTAATCTTTTTCAATGATGGGTCCTATCTTAATAAGAAGACTATATTGGTTGATGTAATGATCATAAAAATGCTTAATCTTTATAATGTAATAACGAAGAAAGTCATATAAATGTTTTAGGTACAATTTTCAACTTATCTCAAAACTAATTTTTTCGTTGCTCGTTATGTTAAAAAAATATGAAAGAAGACTTAACAATTTTGTCGATAATATTATTTAAAAGAAATACAATAAAAAAAATATTGTAATAACATATTTTTAGCGAGATTGAGAATAATTATTAGTAGATTTCAATAACTCTAGTTGAAAACTAGATAATATCTTTTTATGAGAGAAAGTTGGGAGTTCAAATGGATTTCAACAAGCTTCAATACGTGTAAATAATATTTTTGCACACTGATTCTTGACCCTCCATATATGCTAATGAGTATTTAATTTTATATTATTTAATAAAAATAATAATTAAGAAAGCAGAAAATTTTCATTTGAAAATAAGTGTGTGTGTGTGTATATATATATATATATATATATTCTTGTGTTTTCTAAGAAGAGTACAATCAGTAATGATTATCAAATGTAATAATGTTGAAAAAGAAGAACACATACTGGAGGATGTGTATAAGTTGACGAGCTTTATGAACCTTTAATTCGGACAAGTAGTTTTTGCCTTGTAGTGATTATTTTTGATAGAGATTTAGACTCTTTTGTTAAGTTCAATTTGTAATTTTATGGATGCTAAATGTTACTAAAAGCGTATTTCTTCATTCAACTACGGGATGATGATTCTTATTTTTTTTTGACGGTGATGATTCTCTTTTTAATTAGAAGTATCGATGAAATGGACGGTGATGATTATTCTTTTTTTTGGGGCGTGGAACTCAAACGCCAAAATCCAAATGGCCCAACACCCCTCCCCAATGGGCTCTACCATGCTTCCAGTTTGAGCTGTGAGAGAGAAACTTGATTGCATAAGATCGGAAGATCACACAGTACATACCCAAAGCGCAGGGTTTCCCCTCTCTCTCTCTCTCCCTAAACCCTAGTGACGCAAGGACAATCTGAACGCGTTTTACAGTGTTATTCCTTTTCTTGATTAACAATGACAGAAGCAGGTCCAGACTCCAAGGAGGAGGAGATGTCTTTGAAAGATAAAGGCAATGAATTCTTCAAAGCAGGGAACTACCTCAAAGCCGCTGCTCTCTATACTCAGGCCATCAAGCTTGACCCTTCTAATCCAACTCTTTATAGGTAATTCTTTCATTTTTCTCTTTGCGAAATCATACTTTGAACGTTCACTTGATTCATTTCAGTGGGTTTCTTCTTCGTTTGCGATTTACGTTCTTGGATCTTGATTTGGTACTTAGTCTTCATTGGATAAATCTTTTTTTTTTTTTTTTTTTCTTTAAGATTGTATTTCATGAGTGCTTGTTCTATTCCCTTCGGAAGTTTCTGCTGCCCAAAACTTTACGGGATTTAAATTTAAAAATCTAAATTTATGTTATTATACAATCTTTCGTATGAGCAAATCAACATCTTCTATTTACATAATCATCGATTTTGTAAATATCCTATCTTGCCATTTATTATATTTTATTTTACTTATGGGATATTGGATTTTGGATTGTCTAGACCTATATGCTACCGATCTCGTTGGGGTTTGAATGTGCCAACTAAACAACCCCTTTCTCAAGTTAATATGCATTGCTTAATGTGAATATAAGCCAGTAGGATATTCCCTTCAAGAATGTTGATCTTAGCTCTTTGTTGTCACCTCCTTCAATATTGGATATTCTGTTACTAACAAATTCAAATATCATGGTAATGTATGCAAGCTAGCTCTGGTATCAACCTACATTACAGAGAATGGAGAAAATTTTGGACAATAGTCAGGGCAATAGTCAGAAAATGGATATTAGCAGATGACTGCAGAGGAAATATTGGGAAGAAACAAGTGAATAAGGAATAACAGGGAGAAGATAAGGAGTTCTTTGATCTCAAATCACATCAATTTTGTATTCAATAATGATAAAATCTCTCTAGAAATCGTAATTAAGATGCTCTTATGGGCACCACTTACATTAGGAACTGAACACCCTATCCTACCTATAGTCCCAATAGAAACTAAATACAGTTCCCATAATACTTAAATTCCTAGAAACAACTAGTATTTCCTAAGTAATCAAAACAGTTATTCTTTTATCTCGAGAACTAAGATAGTTATGACAAAAAACATTCTAATATTAAATTCTTCCAATTTAGCTTATTCTCCATCACATGGAATTTACCATATTCTGTTTCTTTTTTGGAGAAATGAAGGACTGTGGAGAATGTTGATTCCTTTTCTATTGGTAATAAAACACGAATTGATTAATACAAAAATATTTGAAGGGAAATTATGATGCTGTTCTAGTACGGGCAATATTAAGTCTTCACAACTTAGGAGCACTTGACTTGACAACATTCAAAATTTTGCATTTTGGAAGACTAAATCTGAACCTTGTACTTTTCTAATATACATGCCGGCATAAGTCGTATATGAGATGGTTAATTTGATATCAAATAGTTCAGTCGAGCCTACTTGATAATGTAGAATATTATAGTAAATATGATCTTGAGATTATTAATGTAGGACAAGTTTGATTGTTGCCTACAAAGTCATTAGTGTAACCTAGTTATGACACCTAGGGTTTTTGAGTGTGATTGAATCATTAAATCAAGATACTGATAAAATTCCCAGAGTAGTTTTTATTGTCTAGTAATGATCTCAACTGTAAGGTTACAGTTTGTGTAAGCTTCCTTAAATAGGATTGGACCAAGAATTTTCCGAAGAATTGATAGCAAGAATAATACTACTAGGAAAAAGGCACTAGTATTGAGAATCTGGAAACTAATCATAAAGAGTTTACAAAACATAAATTAAATCCTAAAATAACTAATATGCTACTATGTATCATCAATCACCCCAGGTGGCGAAAAATGCTGTTTTTTCAAGTTGAAATTAGGGTTGAGCCACATGAGTTCAGCTTTCTTGGGATCCAATTGCAATTAGTATGAGGAAGCTCCTTTGGCTTCACTAGGAACTTGTGACAAGTACCCCTCCTTGTAAGACCTCTTGGTAATCGACAATATCTTATATCTCTTCTTTGAGTTTTCAAGTTACTAGTAAGCAAATAAGAATATCATCATCCAGAGTAGTAGCATCATGTCCTTGGTATTAATCAAATCTTCAACCTTCAATAATCTAATATTTCTCATATGTTCTGGTAAGTCAAGAACTTAAAAATTTTAGCTAGTTTTCTTGAGGATTTTAAAGGGCCACAATTCTTGGATCGAAGCTTCTTATAAACACCTGTCAGAAATCTATAGGCTCGATTTGCACCATAACTATGCTTCCTTCAATAAAATCATCAACTCCTCTTTAAATCAACAAAAGGCCTTGTAGCTTTCATTTCCTTTGCTTTGACTTGGTGACCTTTTTTTTCAAACTCAAACCAGGGGAAGAACAAGGTTCCAATCCGATCTCTAATGTGATTTTGAATACAACAAGGAAGATGTCTCCAAAACTCCTATTGGTGATTTTAATTTGCTCATAAGTCTTTGGATAGGAGGATTTAGAGTACTTGAGTATAATGTTCAACATCCTCCACGATGTATGCCAAAAATTTCTTGCAAATTTTACATCAGAATCCAAGACCATGGACACTAGTAAGCCATGCAACTGGAGTTCTTCTTTGAATAGGAGTTTGGCCATGTTAGAAACGTCAAAAATCTTCAGACAAACACAAAATTCATTGCCATAAAAGTTGAATCCTTGCTTCTTGCTGTTTTCGTGAATCAAGTAAGGAATACATGCTTTTGTCTATCCAATGTTCGTGGGATATAGACAGGGGTGTGTATAACCATGTGTTGAGCTTCTTCCCTTCATAAATTTTACAAAGTTGGCATCTTATAACTGCTCTAGCCATATTATTTTTCTACTTGACTAATAAAGTTCATCTTCCATTATGACAATTGTATTATCTCTTTCAAAGTGACTCACTATCCCACTTAAATGTAATTTTAAGATTAATTTCTGTTGTGTTGACTTGTTGGTAAAAAAACATGGGTTCCTTTAGAATGGGCGACGTGGCCATCATGCAATAAAAAATTGGGATCATGTTTTCAAGTTACTAGGTTTTCGTGGATGATGCTAAAACCTTCATGAGATGTAATATTCTCTAATTAGATCAAATCCATTAGTTGGGCAGCTAGAGGTGTGGATCAATGTAGTTTGGGTCAATGTATATGCTGCTTGGTTCTCTATTCCTATTGTATATTTAATCATAAAAGAATATCTTACAAGAGAGCCACTTAATTGGGCATGTTGGTGGTTGAGTTTTTTCTAAGAGTTGATGTACTGAGGGTCCATTGGACAGATTGGTACATATACTGTGAGTTGTCAGAAATGCTATTAAAATTATTTTCAATAAGAGTGTAAATAGCGTTGTAAGTATAAGATATTATATTAAATTTTATGTTATAGAGTTCATAATAGATGTTGAAATGATAAAAAGTGCATAGCAATAAAAGAATTAATTATTGCAGTTATTTAAATAATATTATATGTAACAACTCGGAACTTAAAAGAAAATAAATTATTAATCGGTTGCGGAAGTGAAATAATAACGTTAGGGTTTACATTCCCTACACAATAATTCAGAATACCTAATAAGAATATAAGAATGACCCTTATAAAAGAATAACGAAAAATCAAAGAAATAACTAGAAAGTAAACAATTGAACATCCCATTCGCAACCCTCTTGTGGATCGGGATCTGGATCTTGCTTCCTTTATCTGAAATGGTTAATGAAAGAGTGAGTTATACTAGTTTAGTAAGAATGTCACATTACTCACCGATACAGAAATAAAGGTTGATAAAAATTATGAAAACAACTAATAGAGCTCTTAATTTAAGTAAATTTATTTATCATAAATAAAATCATTTATTATACATTTACCGTAACGAAAATTTTAAAAACCGATCTATAGAAGCAATATCACAACAATATCATACAATTTTCCCTTTTAACTAGTCTGCTGGTATCCATGGGGGTTCATAGGGATGTTCCCATTACGCGTGAATTCTTATTCAACATTGTCAATTAACCGTCCGTCCCCATACCTCGTTCGGTATGAGCATCTTAAATACCATCACTCAATACCCTGTCCGGTATAAGAGTGAAAACGGGACCGTCTCCATAACTCGTTTGGTATGAGCGCCAAAATACCAATTCTCGATATCTCGTTCGGTATGAGATAACATTCATGGTAGAGTTTCCTATGTACTCGGTCCGTCCACCATCTCTTAAAATATCCAGTAAGGCTACCATTCATTCATTTACTTAATCAAACGATTCTCCGTTTACATTTAATTTTCAGTTTCATAATTTAACCGTAAATCACATAAAATAAGTAATATATGCATCAAGAAAACACAACCGAATCCTTTTACCAATTAAAATGGAGTTTGCACACCTAGTCCAAGGTGACATAACTGTATCAGAATATGCTCAAAAATTCTTAAAGTTGGGTCGGTATTCCCCTGAGAGCTTGATGGATAAAGGCAGGAAGGCAAGAAAGTTCGAGTGGGGTCTCCATCCTGAGATCAGATAGCAGCTGTATGTGATTAAGCTTAATGCTTACTCGGCTATTCTGGTCAAAGCACAGCTAGTGGAGAGGAATCTTCGCATTTTCTCTCCAGCAGTAGGGAACCTCAGGCCCTCGGCTTCACACTACAAATCAGCACCTACTGCACTTGTTCAATAAAATAAGAGACCTAGGCCGATGGCTCAGGCTCCTCGTTAGATTCTAACAACAAGACGCAGTAGGACTTGCCAACACTGTGGTAAGGATCACGGGGACCGACTCTGCTATCGCCTCAACAATACTTGCCGCATATGTGGGAGTATCGAGCATTAGGCGAGGGAGTGCCTGAGGAATCAGAAACAGGCCAGACCTCCTATTCAGGGCAGGACTTACAACCTCACTCAGCAAGATGCAGAAACCAACTCAAACGTGATACATGGTACGTACACTATCTGTAACCATCTTGTATATGTTTTGATTGATATTGGTGCCTCACATTTATTCGTTTCACATGCTTTTGCATCAAACTTGAATGTATTACCTGAAAGATTTGATTCTGTATTATTTGTGTCTATTTCTAGGAGGACACTACTGGGAGAGGTTATATACAGAGTATGTATTC